TTGTATGTAGAAGAAATCCTCTGCTGGGCTGCAAGTTGTGCAGGCCAGCTGTAACTGAAATTTAGCATTTTTTTCAATTATTTAAAAACATTCTTCTGAAAAGGGGCCTACAAGCTTCACTACACTGCCAAAGTGGTCCATGACACAAACAAGTTTAAGAACCAATGGATTAGAGGATCTTTCATCTCCTTTATAGTCCTAACTCCTTTGACTATGACTCTAAAGGTAAAATGTCATAATGGGAAAGGCACTGGTCTTATAACATGAAGGTCTTTGTTTAGACCCTGGGCACTTAACCTCTCTGAGCCTCAGTTTCCTCAGATGCGAAATGGAGATAATACTATTTACACTACTTACCTCACAGGGTGATGATGATGAAAATCTCTTGTGAATCTTCAAGTCCTATGTAAGTTTATTCCATGTCACTAAAGTTACTTATCTATGAGTTATTTGGTTACATATCACTAGACAGCAACTAATAAAATAATATAGACCCATAACTTGAATTTTCCAAGGCCTGACCTGTGGTAAATGGCTTCTATAGGCAAGTTCTCCTGGCACATGGGCTTCATCAGTCGATGTCGGAGGGCCCTCTTCTCCTTCAGTACAGTCTCCAAGTGTTGATTCATGCTTTGCAGAATCTCACACTTTTGAGCTTTATAAACCAAAAGCAGTGAATGTAAAGAGTAAGCCAGGTAAAGGATGTTAACTTTAAAGTCACTAATCATTTCTTCTCACTTTATCACTAGCAGTGATTTTATCTCAATCCTTCCTTACCCTTAATCTAGATCATCAAATCCCAATTATTTCCCCTCTCAAATCTACCCTTTTGCTGATTTTATAGCCAAAGCCCTAATTATCATATACGAACTCTGGCTTCACACATCCAGTATTCTAACAATACACCAAGAATCAATTATCTTAAGTGCTGTTTCAATTCTCTCAATACCCTTTCTTAGAATCCTACTTTGGTCTACAATGGCTTACTACTTCACATGAACTTGGTGACCATGTTCTCTTCTCCACTCTCACTTTTCTCAGCCTTTAATAATCATAATTTTTGTCTACTTTGAAGCTGAAGTGCTCTGTTCTAGCTAGGCAAATATACCTACCACCATTCAATTATGCTTGATTTCTGGGTCACTGGCTATATTATTTCTCCTAGGTGAAACACTTTCCCCATACTTCGACATCAAATCTTGCTCTTTTCATTTGCTCAGAATTATTTACCCTGTAGGTCTATGTATCTCCACAGCAAGATGTTTATAGGTTTGTATTTCAATCACTCACGTTCATGTACAGCTAACTACTCTATTTGTCCTATCTCTGAGATAGGATCTACATCTTATACTTCCTTTATAACTCTGAGGTGTCCTTTATGAAACAGAAATTCACTTACCAGAACTGTGAACTTAAAGCACTTATAAACTGAATCACTGATTCAATCTTAGACAGGGTTCTTAACCTGAGATCTGTGAATGCTTTTATAAGGATACTGTGGTTCAAAAATGTAAGGTCATGTTGCATTTCCCAACTGTAGGTACAAATAGGGTTGTAACAAATTGGAACTTCCTTGCCCCACAGACCAAATGAAATTAAGTAAAGGACCGAAAGTTCTTCACATCTGATTTAAATAAACAAGCCATTAGACTATGAACACAGTATGTACAAGTCATTTTTATCTTTTTTTCATTATCAATAGAGATCTAAGAATTGCTCATCCTTCTACATTTTGTATACCATTTTTCAAACTGATGTCCTTTAATTTAGATTGTGTATAATAAATTAACTTTGAAAGATTAAAACGGTTTATGGAAAGAATTATATGCCCTTTGTATCTCTTCACTATCTTCTACTGCCTAGCTTCTCATAATTTCATTTCAGAATATAGGAGATGGGGGAGAAGAATGCTTACTTTGTGGCCATACTTGTCAAAGTTATGGGCAAATGGTGAGGTTGAAACTACCAATAAAGGAGGTCCTGTAATACTTAATCATTTGTTCTCGTTTACTACCTCAAGTGCTCAGGATGTCAGATAAGACATAGAACAATGACATCACAGATCCCAGGCTTTCCTTGAAGAGATGATGATATACAGTGCTATGCCTTGTCATTTTATAGTATTACTTGAAGGTGCTTAGTCTCTCCTGTTAACACAGATGATCAAGAGATGATGGAAATGCCCAGCAACTGTCCATTTAACTAAAACCACTTACCTAGAAAGAAAGGTTTAACGACATCTGCTGTATCCTTTTCTAGTGTTAAAAGGTCAATTTCTAAGGTCTTCTACAAAAGACAAAAATAACACTTGGCTCATTCAGAAAGTAGCTTGGGAAAAAAGAATGACACAAGAGTAAAAATATAGCACTTAGGCCATGCTGCTGATAGGTTTCACTGGAAAAAGGAGGAGGGAAGGAGAGGCTAAGCAAATAGAAAGAAGATACTCTGGCCAAACCCCTTGTAATTCAGTGACATATTTCCTTTGAGGGAGACGATAATAAGGCAAGAAAGAAAGGTGGACTGTTGATTCTAGAAACAGCAAGACTTTCTGGCAAAACTGGGAAGTAAAATAGATACTATCACATGTCAAAAGTGAAGGCTTTACCTCTCTGATTTCAGCTTGCATATCTTTAATCTGCTTGACTCTGGAGAAGTTGACAAAAAATGGAGCAGGGTTCTTACATGAATCTAGTATCTCCTATTATGAGAGACAGAAGACAGCAAAAAATTAACAAAGTCAAAAACAACAGGAAAGTATCAGAAGCAATTTCTGTGAGGCACAACCAACTCTTCGCCTCTAAATACAGAAAACAGGTGTCTCCTGTTTTTCAAAACATCCTCTATTTATAAGGGTAATTACACAATTATCTTGAAAATAAGACTAAAGAACCAACCAGCAGAGTTTATGCACAAGAATGAATACACATATGTATATGTTATTAATCATACATTCCCAATTGAAGAGGATACTAACCCTAGAGTTATCAGAAAATCTCAGCTCTTGTACTCTTACAAATCATAATCCATCCCTGATTTCTTTGATCTCCTTGGAGTTACCAGGTGTAAGTTTCACAACTATATTTGCCTTTTTAAGTTAAAGAAAATCTGACCACACTTTTCTCAAAATGAAAAAGAAATATCAAATACATGAAACTAGTTTTAGACCACCCTCTTGTCCCAGGAGCCAGAGAAGGGTATGCTCTTCTCTCCTGCTGCCCTGTCATGGCTGCTCCTATGGAGAAGAAGAGGTCAGAAAAGGTGGACACAGGGAATCAGCTGAGGATTAAGACAAAAGGTCAAAATTAATATCCTCATCCTTCTCATGTCCTAGGGCTAACAACTGAAAGTAAAACAATAGTAAAGGAAAAGAAATGACTGGCACACCTTACTCATCACCTTCCTTTGTCTTCCACCCCCTTTTCACAATTAATTTACTCTTCCATACGAGGGCTCCATCTCCTTTATGTCTTGGTATAGAATAGAGTGGCCAGCACAAGATCATGTCTCCTGGTCAAATTTACCAACTTTCTTCAATACTATAAGGAGTTGTCATTTCATTGATGTGGGCATTCCTTCTACAAAGTAGCTCAAAACCACTCTATAAATTAATATATGATATTTGAGAATTTACCACCCTAAGGTCAGTATGACGACCTACTCCAAATTTAGCTAGACTGATCTCCCAATAACAGACACATAGTCCATTGCCGGGAATGAACTCTTAAGTCAGGGATCTCCAAAGTGCAATGGGAGCCCTGGCCTGAGACCAAGTGTTAGAAGAAGGTTTACATTCTACCCTCCCTGAAACAGCCAATGATGAGGTTTATCTCCAATATATGTCACCACTCCCCCATTTAATTCCTTTTCCTCCACTGTGCAAACTCCTACCCTCCTCCCTAGCTAGGTGGTACAGTGCACAGAATGCTAGGCCTGGAGTCAGGAAGAACCGAATTCTAATTTGGCCTCAAACAATTACTAAGTGCAAGCTATTTGATCTCTTCCTGCCTCAATTTCCTCAACTGTAAAATGGGGATGTTGTGAGGATCAAATAAATTAATAAGAGCTTGACACAGTGCCAGGCACATATTAGGTGCTTAATAAATGCTTCTTCTCTTCCCCACTTCCTGAGCCAAGATTCAGTCATTTAAGGCAGGTATAACCTACAGGCGCCACTGGAAAATTCGCACTGCATTCCCCCTCCACAGCCACCCTCTTTCAGATAATCTCATGTCTGCAGCAAATGACCCTCTGAGGGTGGGCAGAGTTTACAGCACTGTGACTGGTAAGGAAGAATCCCTCTTCTCCCTTTTCTGTTTCGTATGGAACGTCCTGAACCCCACAGGATGAGCAGGCTCTGATGTGCTGTGATCTTCACTGAAGATCTCACCTAACACAAACCCACCCCTCTTCCAAACCTGCCTCTTGTTACTGAGATCACTGTCTTTCTAGCCACCTAGGTTTACAACATTAGTGTTATCCTTGTCATTTTTAATACCTCATTCTCCCTTTAGCTCATATATCCAAACAACTGCCAAATCTTGTCATTTTACCGTCACAACAACTCTCACTTCTGTCCTCTTCTCACTAATCTACCTCTCTACAACAGACAACAAAAGCAACTAGGTTAGTATTGTGGATGGACTTAAGTCAGGAAGACCCCAGTTCAAATTCTCCTTCAGACACCTAACAAGTATGTGGCTCAAGGCAAAGCACTTAAACTTTGTCTGCCTCAGTTTCCTCATTTGTAAAATGGGGCTAATTAGAACCTACCTCCCAGGGTTGTTGTGAGGATCAAATGAGACAACATATGTAAAGCACTACATAAGTGCTAGCTATTATTATTACCAAGTCCTCATCGCCTCTGCACTGGACCAATGCCACAACCTCCTAACTGGTCTTCACTCCCCGAGTCTCTGCCTGCTCCAATATGTCGTCCACATAGCTACTGAAGTTGTTTTCATACGCAGCAAATCTGACCATGTCACTCCCTTACTCAATAAATTCCAGTAAAAGAGAAGAGGAGAAAGAGAAGGTACACCTGTGAAACCCATTTATCCTTATGTGTATTTATTACCTTTCCACATATATGTATATGTACACACACACATTATATGACCAGATTTCACATTAATCAATGCAAATATGTGAACCGAGTGAATCTTATACCCACAGGGAGCTGGTATCTTCTCATGGTGTCAAAAAGATTATGTTTTAAGGGTTGTTTAAACCGGGACCTATCAGTAGAATCAGAAGAAAAACAAGCAAGGCCAACAAGACTACATCAAAGAACCGTTGTTTACGGGATCGTGGCAGTTTCTAAATTTCCCTGGAAAGAAGAAATCATGACTGTTTTAGGGATGTGGTTTATCCTAGGAAAGTAAGACTAAAAACGTACATATATATACCTGCTGGGGAGAAAAGTTTCTATACTTTGGGAGTTGCTAGTGTTTTCATACGTTCTGGTACTATATAATAATGCATCATACTGTAAAAGGAATTGCCAAGATAAGGCTCTATTTAAAAAAGAGACAGAAAAAGAAAAAGGAGGAGAGAATAAAGAAAGTACTGCTCTTTGAAAGACAGGCATTTGAAATCCAGGACTATTTTGCCTACAACAGGTGATCTGGTCACTGTCTGAATATACATCCTTACTTATGTATGTAGTTATACCCATGTCCAAATTTCATCTGCTAGAATTAAACTCTGCAAATGACCACCCTTTCTTCTTATCAATATGAACAGAAAACACGGTTCCTATCCGTGAGGATTCCAAAATCTAGTTGGGGCAACAGAACACACACCACATACAAAATAAACAATACGAGGCAGTACATACATGGAAGACAGATCAGACAGCTCAGGCAGGCAGTGAATACAATGAAGGTAAATCTGAGTAGGCTGGAGTGCTTAGAAAAAGCTTCAAGCATATGCAATTAAATATGTCCAATCCAACGGGGGAGGTAAGGGATTAATGCATTGTGAAATAGTCTCAATAAGGAGTTTTTCTTTTGTGTCATGGACAGTTGGTAGGCTCCTGAAATCTATGGATACTTTCTCAGAATAATGGTTTTAAGTAATTCAAGGAAATACTAAATTTCTGTTAGAGGCTAATGAAAATAAAGATGTAATGTTCTTCTCATCAAAGTTCACAAATCCCCTGAAATCTACCTTGGGATCCCACAGGGGTTGGTGAATTCCAAGAACCCTTGGCCTAAACTAAGTTCAAATGCACCTTGCTTTGCAAAAGGGTTATCTCCCTCCTTTTTTTTTTTTTTTTGCATAAAAACAAAATCCTATTTCCCTCATATATTTTATCATTTGGAAGAATGTATCTTAGATCGTTCTTCTATTAGGAATGGCTCCTAGCCCTTTAGTCTTAAATTATATTTTGCCTCTATTTCCTATCTCTCAAGTAGTTAATGTTCTGTAAACAGACACTAAGATACATTAGGGGACTTTAATAAATACCCTTTTGTACCAGGAATAATTCTCTTTCCTTCCCAATTTCTTTAATTAAAAAAAAAAACCTCAGCAAATAATAAAAAAAAACCATATTTAAGTGGAACTTACTTATGAGGTAAGTTATATATAATCTATCTCAATATACCTGATACAGCAACTCAGACCAACAAGCCCGAGTACTCAATCATAACTATAGTCTAAAATTTCTTTAAAGAGATCCTTTACCTTTGCTGCTCCAGGTTGACCTTTTCATGAACAGAGAGAAGTGAACAGATTAGAGAGTTGTTACAGAGGTACAAATGGCAAGACTTAGTAATTGATCAAGAGGGAAGTTCATGAACCTAGGTGAGAAGATATAGGGTCCTTGAGAGAAAGAGGTAAAAAGTAAGTTTGGGGAAGAGGAGAGAAGGCGTAATGAGTTTTATTTTGGTCATATTAAGGCTTAGATGCCAAAAGGGCATAGAAGTAGAGATCTCCAGCAGTCAGCTGGTAATATGCAAACGTAGTTTAGTTGAAGGACAGGAACCTGATATGTAGATTTGGGAGTCACCTGTATAGATATGTAATTGAAGTCAGCCAAATTTATGTAATCACTAAAGGAAAAGGTGCTATAAAAGAAGAGTAGAAGGTATAGGGATAGAATCTCATGGGTTACCTATGAAAAAAGGGTAGGAAACAGATGACGAAGCAATAAAGGAGACTGAAAAGGAATACTTAGAAAGGGAGAAAGAGAACAAGACAATATCAGAACAAGGGAGAATAAGAAACAATGAACTCCACAAGTGTTCAATAAACTGCAAAACACAAATCACTTAGGAAAGAACTCTATTTCATAAAAATTGCTGGGAAATTTGGCAAGCAATATGGCAGAAATTAGATTTAGACCAACACATTATAACATATTTTACAGTACATTCTACATGGATACATGACCTTAATATTAAATATCATACTAGTAAAAAAAATCAGAAGAGAAGCAGATTACATGCCTCTCACAGCCAAGGATAGGAGATGTAATCTTAACCAAATAAGGGATAGAGACAATTATGGAAGATGACATAGATAACTTTGATTACATGAAACTGAAAAGCTTCTGCACAAACAAAATTAATGCACATAGGATAAGAAGAGGAGTAATCAAATGGGAAAAAAACTTTGTATCACATTTTTCTGATAAGGGTTTAGAATCAAAGGATATATAAATAATTAACATATATACAGGGTATCCCCAAAGTC